CACTTCGACTCAGACACCCACTGGCAAGCCTGAGTATCGCGAGGGTAGGATGTTGTCTGCGCCACAGTGCATTAACGCATATAGTTAGATCCAAAGTCGCAAGCACACCACATTGGAAAATCTCTGGATGCAGCAATTACCCAGGTTCTAATCCTGTGTACCTGCTCAATTACTGGATGACCCAAAGGCCGTGTAATCTACTCAAAGAGTAAATGTTTAAGTCAGGGTGCTGGTGTGTAGAGACCAAATATGGATATAACAACACGTTTATAGTGGCCGAGAGGACAGTCGAATGAACTAACCAAAATTTACTCTGTAACGGTGTCCTCAAAAGAGAAAAAATACACACACTCACACCAAACATATCCACGAAAAAACATGATGAGATCCGTGTAAAGCGTACAAGCTGCAAGTTGTAGAATCTTCTTCCTTCTCATCTCACTGCTATAATCATAACATCAATTACCTAAGACCAACATCATTCAACTCTCCTCGCAAGCACCATCGGCTCACGAATGCATGGTCTGCGTTCTATCATCTGCGTCTGCCTCTGCCATACATTAAAATCAACGCTGTTGTGGTGCGTGCTCACAGCAATTACAACCAATCCCAATCAACGAGACTGGGTACATCGGCCGTACGCTGCCTTGTTACACACCATGAAACCTTGTCAGACATGCCAAATGACCGCAAAATCCTTATCACTTGACTTCCACGATCACGTTCGTTGACCATATTTCGGATGTCGACTTCTTTCATTGTCGCAGCTGCCAGCGTCGCTAACATAGGCCACACGTTTGGTGCACCTGTTCAATGTCGCCTTGTATGCTCACACGTATCTCTAGCTACAAGGGTTCTGCCTCATTTTCCCACAGACCCATTTTCCCACCTCCAGCTGCTGATCGCATCAATTGCGGTAGTGATTTCTTGGTACGGCAGTTGCGTGTCTCCATGAAAGGCTTCTTTACGCGCAAATCATAGTCCTCAGTTAAGCCGTTTCCCACGAAACGAAAGACTTCTAGAATAGTAGTCTTCTTCCCTAATCTCATCCTGTCAGCCGGAATTACTTATACTTTCCTACACCTCCCTGCATTATCGGCTGGTGTCCGGCATCAACGCTTTCCATTCTCAACTCACATAAATGACAAATTCACCTAAATGCACACGACCGAATCTCTGACAACTGGAACAACACCGTCCTATACTACTGGATTCTAGCAGTCACAACTACAGAAGTCAGAACTACCCGGATGGTAATGACCAAATTGGATTCGCCCTCATTGGCTTACTGTCCTTGCGTAGAGTCAGCCATGCGCATTGGCGAATCAGGAGCTAGTAAATGACGAAATGATTTCAAGCGAGTGGGATGCAGGCGAATGTGCGCACCCATGCCAACACAAGCGCGTATCGGACAATTCACCCAGCCACCCTTTCCATCGGAGACTAGTCAATTGTTAATCCTAGGTTTCTGCTAAATCTGGATCTACGCTAAACTTACAATATTACCTGAAGGCGTGCAAACTACGTAAAGTGAAAATTGACTAAAGTTAGGTGGCAGTGTGTGGCGAAAATATACGCATTGCGACTGCAGAAACAGCAAAGTGTGCGTCATGTTAAAAACTGTAATCGAGTGAATGACCCCACATTTACTCTGCAGCGTCATCCACGAAACATGAAAATGCACGTGCGATCATGTCCACATCGAGGCAAGGTGAGTCAAACGTCGGGCTTTTGGGCTGCAGCCAATTGAAGTTGCGAGGATATGCATAATTTCCCAGCAGACATTGTCTGCTTTACCGTTTCTTCGAATGCTCTCAAAGACATTCCTTCAGAATTGATTATCCGCAGGTTTGCTAATCCCCAAGTAATAACAACGTGACTATGAGCGTTACCAAACACAGTCGCACGAAAGCTGCCTTGATAACTGCATCGCGTAGTGGTTTGATTAAGAGGTACTGTGATGGGTGGCGAGATTCCCCTGGCCCAAAACCTGGCAGTAATAGCAGGTTGGAGCAGCGAGTCCATGTTCACAAAAAAAATAATTAGGGGAATGTTGACCAACAGCAGTTTTTCCCTTACCTCGCTTTGGTAACGGGTAAACACTTCAGAGGCTTGAAGAATGCTTTGTGAACTGCGACCACTGACAGTCGAGCCCGAAACGCGAGCCAAGTGGCTTCCTCTTCCTCCAACACTCAATGGATCGACAGGAGTCTCAACTCTATCGTCCGTTGATGCATTTGCCAACAGACGTTGGTTTTGTGGAGGGCTCGGAGTTGCTGGTGTCCTGAGACCGACGAGCGAGAGGATTGATGAATCGAGGGAATTCCATTGCATGTACATTTGGAAAGGCTGAAGGGAATCAGTGGATTCGCTTGAGTCTACGAAGTTATCAGTTAAAAAGTTGGAATTTTACCCAATTCCCTACAAGAGTAAGTGTCTACCTCATCCCACTCCAAGCACTGAGTAAATCCATTATCTAGCAATGAGATTGTCCCATAGTGGACAATTTGTTCACATTTTTTTGTACCCTAAACGAAGCCAACTTAGTCACACTGAACGCTGAGATTTGGGATATAAGTAAAGATAGCCAAACCCGCGCATTTTCGCTATGCATCTAATGAGGCTCGACACCAGTCGTTCCACTTTCTGTACAGATGCCTTGAGAATTAATTGTGCACAACAAGCAGCCTCGAAGGTCATCTAGCTGGACGATTTGTTGAACGGGATTGGAAGATTATACGTAGTGTGTTTGATCACGATAACTCTCTTCACCATAAACCACATTTTGCTTTTACACTGCAGTAGATACAGAGTCAGACATCGGTCATGTCAATGCCTCCTGTGCGACAAACCACCCAGATATCAGGACGACATGATCTCAACCACATAGAGAATCCTAACCTACGCATAGTTCATCCTCACACTACACCTTATGCGTTCCAATCTGGACGATTCGCGACAGCATCTGCCTAAGCACCACAAAACAACCACAACACGAATGGCAAAACATTCGCAACTTTACCCGGTTGTACAACGCAACGGAATTGATAAGCACGATCGATGTAAACATCACCTCTATGCACTTCTTAACGTCAGTGGCCGAAAACAAATTAACAGAGCATGTATCACTCGCTGCCTCACTTGAATGAGGCTAGGTGCACTGGATTCTCACCAGTCAGCGGTCAGTATGCGTAAGTTTGAGCATAGCTGCAAGTTGTATGGCAACTCAGACGACAACTCGGACTCACTGCATGTGGCAAAGTCAAGAAGGCCACCAAGTCATTGTCCCCGGAGAGTACGGGGTGGCTGGCTGATTTGCGAAGGAATGTCTGCAAGCCACTGCATCGACGGTCCACGAAGTCTGAAGCGTAGCGATTGAGCTGAGTGAGAACCTTCTTGCCTGGCAAGGGCTTAAAGAGCAAAGAAGTCCAGAGGAGATGCCAATGGGACCGTAATCACATCTGAGGAATGACGAATTCGGCGGGCTACCACTCACACATATCCAGACAGTCACATTTGTCCTCGACAATTATGCTCCGAATTATGGGAGCTCGCAAATATAATGTCTCTTTGCAATCCAGTGGTTATGGCATGTTTTTACACCTCGCATTCGTGCGACGTCCAGACAATAATCTTCTCAGGTCCATTTTTTCTGGCTTCACGGCTCCGAACAACATCAATGATATGTATTGTTTTACGTCGTTTTAAAGTAGTTTGTCCCCAAACCCATGCCGCAGGTTGATCAAGTTCAAACAGACAAGCGTTTATTAATGAATTCGTTGATTAATACGCATTTGTGTGGCTTTCGACGATTTTGATGTCACTCATGACCACGTGTTTAAGGCTCGCATAAATGGAAATGCTCTTTCAACCCGAAACCCCTGGTGTTGTGCTGGAGGAACAGGAAATGCTAACCCACTGATGTGCCAGAGGACAATTCGCACCTTCCGAATTACACTTTTTGCTTGAGCAGTGGAGGCCACCGATTGATGCGGATCAATGCACACACCACAGTGAAGCTGATTGTGCACAAGAATCATTCAAGCTTCCGACATCAAAAACGCAGTTCACATGGGTAAATGCAGTACATATCAAGTAGGTCTCTACGAGCTTGGTGTAAAATATTTTGCAACACCAATGCTGCTATCTACACCATACAAATCATATTTCACACTAGATACAGTTTGATGGATTAAAATTGTCTGCTTGCTGTGGATTGTGAAGATGCTCTTTTGTTCATAGCTTGCACAATCACTGACGTGTTGAACACTACGTTTGGTGTAGTGCAATGAAGTCAAAGTAATATTCGCCTACCAGCGTGTGGGGTCTAATATTTTCTTCAGCATCTTTTATGAAATCACCACGAAGAGGCGTGACGGTGTGTGACATGTAATGGCACTCTTGGTTAACCTCACTTAATTATTCCACAGTTCGTGATTGTGGATGTGGACTGATTTCAACTTTGCCTCTCATCAAACGCACAACATTACTTTTGCATTCACAAAACACACGCGCTCTTGCCGACATTACTGGCGATTAGAGTGTTATTTTGCTTGGGAACGCAATCCCGTCGTGATCACCATGGAAATATTTGATATGGTGGAGACATTAGAGCCCACACAACAAATTCTGCCAATTTGACCAACTACCTCGCTGACAGTGGGGGCTATCGAAAGTGTGAGAGTGACTTGATCCGTCTTTAGTTTCCACATATAAACGTCAAGGGCCACTTCCCAAGTGCTCTCCTCGGTGTCTCTTCATTGTCACACTTGCAGGCCAGTCTCGCGTGATTAACGTGGCTCAGCTACTGATTTCACATTGCCACAACATGATTTGGCGTGTGTTTACTTTTAGGTTACTCGTGTTATCGGCTTTCACATTCACCTCAACTTGCTGGCTTCGCATTCTACATGATAAATTATGGCTAAAGTTTGCTCCTAAAATCTTCGAAATACTCCTTAGATCACAGAAATAATTAGGTGCATGATTTACTCTTTATAGCTTTTTTTGAGTGGATGATTCATTTAAAAGTGACCTATTTGACTGTTGCTTATGGTATTGAAAGGACCAAAGAACTGAACGATTAGTCTGCGTGAGATATATAACCTCTCACAAATGCAAACCTTATGATGGCAACTTATATGCTGCGCATTGAATACTGCAATTTATTTGAATTCCAACAAGGTAAAATGCTTCTAAATCACGAGAATCATTTTGTAGAGTTCTTTGTGCCGACATAATGTCTTATAAACCGTGATTTTATTGGTACAAACATTTTAGAATTTTTGATTTCGATCTAAGTGTCCAGCTGCGTCCCGGACAGCAGCATCGAAAGTTTGGAGATGGGAATTGCAAGCTCTGCTGGATGAACACTCAACGCAAACGCAACAAGAGCTTGTAGCTGAGTTTGAAGTCATTTTAATAGCAAATTCCAAGCGTCTTTACAAAAGAGGAAAAATTCGAAATTTCGAAATTGGGACTCCCCAAAAGGGTCGACCGAATGCAACCTAGGTCAACGTATGAACACAGGCGGTTCACCACTTGCCTTCTGACAAGAAAAAAAGAGATTTTTGTGGAAAGTTGTGATGGAATATGAAAAGGAAATTTTACGATATCCAGGGTAGATCTTAGGCAACCCAGTACATAGACGCCAAAATATGGAATTTATTTGAAGAAGGTTCACCTTCGCATCTAGTGGGACATGAAAGGTGTACTCAATTACGAACTCCTGGAAACTGGTCAGACAATGATAGTTAAACAAAAGGTCAAGAACTTGATGAGAAAATGCCATTTACTAGGCAAGGAAGCTAGCAATTCATACTGCTGAATGAAAAACGCTTGACTTCAGAGTGCTCGCCCTACTCAGAAGAACCTCTTGAAATTGGGATGAAATATTTCGCTCACACGCAGCTCATTCACCAGGATTGGATTTTAACCGACTACCACCTGTTTTGGTCAATGCAGTAAACCGTAGTGGGTGGACAGTTGTAAACGCTGGACTATATGCGGAAATCCGTCAATGGTGAGTTAGCCTCAAAACCTGCAAGTTCCTTTCCCTAAGGCACTCTTAATTAAGTGACCAGCCACTCGAACAGGAAAATAAATTAGTGCATTAGCGTCCAGTCTCTCAAAAAATCTCTTCGGAAACCGTAAACTACTAGCAGGGTCATCTTCAAAAATGCCCCTCATGCTGCCCCAATCCAAGCACCTCGAAACTACCGAGTCACGTGTATTCAGGTGAAGAAGGCTACACGTTAACAAACACAGCAAATAAGTGGAATGACAATTGCCTGTGAATGCTATAAATGCTTGTGATTTCAAGTGGCATTACTCTAACCATCGACAAATTTCGAAGCAGATGCCACCACGTGTGAACACGCCATTAGGCCCAGCACGATGTGTGATCACTATGAGTAGCCTCGTAATATGATTCTGCGGCATCGCAGCAACTAGCCCTTGATTGGCAAGCGGGCTGTTCAAGCGACAGTCCATTTGCAAAACACAAGAACATCAGCGATTGCCAATACATGTGCGTCTGAGGAGGCATCATATCATTTGTGCAAGGCTGCTTTCTACAAATGAAGGCGTTAGGCTTGCTTTCTACTAACGGTCTATAATTGGCATCAAGCCAAACTGAATGGAGATTCGTACTTCCTTTGAAATTGAAAAAATCACACTTACTTAAAATGAGTCGGAGAAAATAGGGCACATCGCGGATTGCCTCTAGATTACACCGTGTGAGAGAAACATTGATTATTATTGTAAAAGAAAAGAGAACGGTTATGGCACAAACTCGTCGTCACAATTAAAATTATTAAGATGATTGATCATCCAGTAATTGAGCAGGTACACGGGATTAGAACCTGGGTAATTGCTGCATCCAGAGATTTTCCAATGTGATATGTCTGCGGCTTTGGATCTAACTACATGCGTTAATGCACTGTGGCGCAGACAACATCCTACCCTCGCGATACTCAGGCTTGCCAGTGGGTGTCTGAGTCGAAGTGTTCGTTATTCCTAGGTGGACATGAACTCCATGGACTAGAACTACGTACGAGTAATCCGAATTTTGTGGCACAAAGCTTTACAAAACAACCCGTATCGGATTTGGCAGATGTAGACGAGATTTCTGCAATGACTACCTCTATGCCAGACTTCTCGGTTGAATATGCCGATGGCTGCATGAAAGGGTCAAGTGAACGAACCAAGTGAATGTTCCTAGTCGAGTGTGCATGTCGCACGGCAACACTGTGACTTATTGAATTTACGTGCATCCTTTCTGGTTAGGTCGATGAATACACAACACTGTGTGAGAAGTTGTCCGCGATCATGAATCGGATGACTGGTCAGTTAACTACACTCTCCTACACCTACGTCGACTTGGCCAGAACTCTGGAGCAGTGGCCGGCGGACCCGGTTACTGCACCATGTCTCACGGGCAATTCCAACGTGGTGCAGTTGGTTAGCGATGCTGTTGGGCAAATGGCGCGTGCCACCCAGCGACTTGTCTCCGAACTTGGCCTTGGACCCGGCAGCACCTGGTACGACTCAGCCAACTTTGGCGAGGCTGTTAAACGCGCCCTCAAAAACCGCAGTGCTATCGAGGTTGGCCTGATGCACATTATGCACATCGATGTGGCAAGCAAATCGCAAGTTTTAAAGAGGTGAATTGATTGGCATGCCACAATCTGTATTGTTGGCACATCTTGGATTCTGACGTCCAACCATTTAACGTAATGCCTTTGGTATTCCGTCGCGGCCGGCTCCATTGTGCTCAAATCTAGAGCCCTTCCGTCCCCATTAGCAGGCAGGCGTTTATTGAGGCGCAAGCAGCGTCAAGACACTCGATGCCTAATTCATTCGTTTTGGACCAGGACGGCAGACGAATTAGTACGTCATCACATGGACACAAAGGCTGTCTTTCTGTAAGGCATGAAAACTTGACTATTTTAGTTTTTTATTTATCATAATCAATGCCAATGCTTTGAAATACGATTGCGTTTGTGGTTGCTCACACAAACACCATTTTGTGTTAGCTTGACTGTCGGTCCTTTAATGGTTCTCTCACGGGCATCCGGATGGAACCAAGGATGTATTTCTCAATGTGAATCGCATCGACGCTGGATAGGTACTAAAACCCATATCAGATTTATTGACATACCGTGAATTTTGGCGTCCAGTTATTTATAATAACAATACCTATGATATTTCTTAGTTGATAGCTCTTCGGCGCTTATATCTAGACCGCTGTTGTCTACATTGGCAGGCGAATATCTTTTGAGGCGTAGGCAGATTCAAGACACAGTAATAGGCGCATCATCAAGATATATCGGTTGCCCTTCCTTGGAGCGTGAACATTTGACTGCTTAATTCCGACCTCGTTCTTATGTTTGTTACGCATAGCAAGAAGTGAGTATTTACTTTCACGTTGCGTCCCTCAAATCTGTTTCTCAAAATAAGGCTTTCAACTGTACTTCACAAAATGCATGTGTTTTCGAAACTGCAACTCTATTCGAGACAAAATGATTCTCCAACCGGTGTGTTACCTCCACGACGTACGCATGACCAAGTGGGGTAGAATTTAGTGTAAATATAGCTAATTATGACAAATCAAGGTGACCAAATTGGCAGGACTACGGCTAACAGGCGGATATGCACAATGATTAATTCTACTGGGTTTCTGTCCGTGAAGATAACAAGGCTGGCCAGTGGTTGGATTGCAGCCTGGAACAGTAACTGATATTCGTTGCTTTTTATACAAACTCGTCTCTCTTCACAAAACTCGCGTGCTTCAGCTGACGGGATGCAAATGAATCAAAGTCTTGGTTGTATGTGGTCCTGTTGTTAGCAGAGACAGTTGTGTATGTGTAGAGTTATGGTGCGTTAGAGAAAATTGATGATACGGAATGAGACGCTCGTCGTTGTAAAGGAAGCATTCTGATTTTTGTCGAAACCGATTTTTGAATGCAGTAATCTGTAGTTTTCCACATATAATTTGTGCAAGTGGCATTATTAAAATGTTCCAGATAGTTAACTGAAAACCCGTTATCACCACAGTTACGTTCAAATTCCTTGAGCACAACAGTTGACTGTCTACACGCGTTTGGCTAATACCCTGACTAGCTTGTGATTTGCTCACGCAAACACTGGCGGATTCGAGACAAATGCGTTGATTTATCGAATTTCATTTGATATCTTGCCTGAACACGTCAAATTCTGAGGGAATGATTGAAGGAATGTGTCGGCTGCAGTGTTGAGGCAGGATTAATTCGAGGACGATTTTGATCCAACCTAATCCATCGCGTTTCTCCAATGGCTGATTGCCGATTCAATAAAAGCGCTTTGCATTTGCCATCGTACTGATAGCTGCAATACCTGTCAACAAACATTCGGCCATGTTTCCTCTACAAGGGCCTCCATGCCTCTGCTGGATAACCAATAGAATTACGAGTTTTGCGCTTCAGGCGCTACGTAAGGATGAATTGTCCACGCAAACGATGCTCTCAACAAGTTGGCGTAGTGCTGAGCTAATTTTCACGACGCACAATTGCGCACGTGGCCTTGGGATCTGAGACAGGGCAATGGTCAAGCAAGTAAAACACCTGTTGTTACTGCTTGCGAACTCCTAAGTTGGTTTTAACTGCAACAATATACCTTGTTCCTAAACCCGCGTTCGTTGTTCCTGTAACACGGTGACATGAAACCCACGGGGCTTGCTGGCTGTTGTAATAAATGCACAAAGGCATCAGCCGACTTGGCCACGTTTGAATACACGATTGTGACTCGTGCAAAGGAATGGGTGGTTTTTACATTGCAGCCTGCCACTTTGCCTGACATGACAAGTAATGGGGACTGGATGAGGCAAAGTTAAACGTCCCACCCCAAGAACTGCGTGGCTGTGTAGTAAGCGGCGAAACGCTTGAAGGTTCGTTGTGGTGCAATCGGCACAGACTGATGCAAGTGTAAATGCGTTCTATTAAGGGCTCCTTTGACAGACACCAGAGCCATTTGTTGCGGTTTTGGCAATCGCTCGCCTTAAGTTCGTGTACACTCGAAACTGCCAAACCGATGTGCTACGGATCAGCTGGAAGCATCACATCATGCTGTCAGTTGGGCTCATGCAGGTGTGCCTGCATAAACATGCACCATGGGATGTGCATTTGATTGAGTGTGTGGCAAGACGTTAAAAAGCGCATAATTGCAGTAGACAGGTACGATTGGCATCGCCAATATGACCATAGAGTGGCGACGTTGTCTTTGTTGAGTGAGAATGCCGATGCAGATAGCTATCTTGAAGAGCGCATGATGGCCTCTTTTCAATGAGTATGTATGCGACTGCTGGGGTTTGCGCAATCAGGGCAACCTTGCTAGTTGTTTCACTGTTGACGTGCAATCACTCCGAAATCCCTTGGTTCTAACTTTGTATAGAACCGGAAACGTTTGCGCCATTTATTCACAGAGGCAAACTTTTTCCCATTCTAGTTTTATCTTTTACACTGCACAACATAAAACTGTGCGTGAACTTGTGTGGAAGTAAACATTATTATTGGTCAGGTTAGAGACATTTCATACTGAACATAGCTTTTTTTGCTTTTATCTTGCTCCTGAATTTGTTCTATGCTCACGTGATGGACATTTCTTGATTACGGATCTAGGCTCTTTAAATTACTTGCATATTTTTGACTAGTACACGTCTTTAATCAGTTAATAATAACATCTTCTGCTTCTCGCTACTCTCCTCTTCTCTACCTTTTTAGGCGATTTGAATGTACTTGGTAAGCCAAGACAGCAGTCTGCATTCGTTACCAAGACAGCTGGCGACGTGGTTCAGTCGCCTTTAGCTCTTGTCGAATCGTACGAAGGTTTGTGATGTCAGGTTTGAACAGAATTCATGCCTGAAGAGTGCTTCATATAATTCTTTAATCTAAAGGATTTTTATGCACAGATTAATTTTGCTGACTCGTCTGTGAATTTATCATATGGAAATTGTTCATAGACCTAAAAAATAATTTCGGTAGTGGGCGTAGGGCAATTATGACATTTCGGTGTGTTTGGAAATTGAGGTGTAGGAAAAGATTTTGCCAATGAGAAATGGCAAATGACGGTTATTAAAAATTTTATGGCACCAATTTGCAAAAAATCATAATCAGAAGATCGTATCTACCGGCATTTATTATTGTATATGTCAATTATTTTCTCAATGCCTTTTAAGTTCAGCTACGTGTGAGCATGAAATTAAATTTTTGGGATTATGGAAATCGCAATATAAAATCCATTACGGAGCATAGTTCAGTGATGTATAATAGTCTAGAAGTGTCCCTTACAGAGGTTGCACAAATTTAATGAATACGTTAGTCACGAGCAGTTTGATAACCACTATTCCTAAAATGCAGTTTGAACAATAATGCCAAGTATACTGAATGTTGTAAGTAGACAAGGTAGGCGCTACATTTTAAGGTTTTCCTTAAACCTTAGATCTATAAGAAGTCTCAGGAAATATTTAATCATATCGATAAACTTTGGCCCAAGAATAAAAACAGCTTCTCTACTTGTACGAAACCCACTAAAACACGTCAACAATGAGAAAAAGTGCTTTAAAAGGTGCCAAAGTTAATAGTGGTCTTAACGAATTTCTTACTTGGTAAATTGATTTTTTTACAATAAGATGCAATCTGCAAAATAGCATTTGTCAGAATAAAAAGGTTCACTGGAATCCGGCGAAATCTTCAACTGAGACATTTAGGTGAAGTTACAAGAAAAAGGATAAAGTTAGCACTCAAACTTAAGAAATCTTTTTGCTTGCAACGTGGGACCGCCAAAATAATCGTTCACAGACAAATGAGAATCGCCAGTGGACGGAGTGCTCAGATTTACACTGCAAGATACAACAGTACCTGGGTATAGTGTAAAGTGAGTGCCAATTTAACTGAGCATAATTGGCGTCAAAAAATGTAGGCAAATTCTATAAATTAAACAGCCATATATAAAAAAACTTGTATACTACCCAAATTCAAAAGTTTGGGCGAAAAAAATAACCTAGAAATCACCCTTCACTACAATCTAAAATGTGGCTAAATAAGAAAGTTTTTGAAGCCGCAGATACGATCAATTAAAAAAGAATACATTTAACTAACACAAAGTATTTATGCATCCTGATTTGGCTCCACTAATTAAAAAAAACTAATCTCTTTTTCAAGGTTAAAACCTAAAAAATGCTAAAGATCTTTAGAAAAAGAACCAGCCATATAAGATTAAAGCATTCTACTAGTCACAGGAACATGCGTGCAAAAACATAACTTAAGCTGGTAATTTGAATACTGTAACACTCCAAAAAAGCGGTAGGTAAAACGCATCCTTTCATTCACCAGATATTTAACTTTATATACAAGAGTGACTTAAGAACTATCTTGTGATTTGCAGAATTGAATCTAAAGTTTGAAATCGAATTCAATTTAACATACCTTGTAAGCCGTTTGTGCAATCTATGAGTACAACAATGGCAAGCGCGACTACAACGTAGTCGTCGTTATAGCATGCAAGACGATTTGATAGATAATAGTTAATAAATGGCTTACTAAATTTGCAGAATACAAACATGTACCCTAAAATAGAAAACGTCTTGAAATTACAGGATACCGTCTCTTACCCAACAAATCTTTGGTAAGAGTTAATTTTTGAGTTCAATTGAAGCTACAGCGTAGATGTCATGCAGTCAAGACTAACCTCAATGTTCACTAGGACGACAGTGTATAGGTCGTGGTGTGTCTTTCTTACCTATGGATGGAGGTCAGCTGTAACACGACGCAACTAGGGAGGACAAGTAAGGTAAAAGCCGATAGGGACTCGCTACTTATTGTGACAGAAGAGTTAGCTGTTATTGAGAAAATACCTATAAAGTACACTTTGCACCAGCTTAAATAGATTCTACGTAAAAAGTCTAATACAAACCACGTAAGTCAAACTTAAGCAATGAAATTTTTGTAATCTGAACACGAAGAAATTCCAAATTTCTTTACAAGTAGTGTATGAACGGAAGCTTTACCTAAAACCCAAATACTTTTATTAGAAATGTCTTTTTAATTAATTAAAATTGTTTACTACTTAAGTAAAATGCCTATTTAGGTATAAATTGGAAACTTGCAGTTATAAACTAAATACTCTCATGTCTATTTGAAATGCTATAAAGGTGCAGTCGTAAAATGGACCAGATGCAGTATTTTAAATTACCGTAAATCTAACATGGCTTCCAGTTGGGTTGCAAAGTTATACAATACTCTCTTCGTTGGCACTAATAATTTTAGTTGTGTGGGAAGCCTCGATGTTCTCTCTCATCTTAAGTTTTGCTACTGGTGTTAGATGACACTCATGGAAAACTTCCTACTGTACACAATATCCGACAGATTCGCACAGGAAACTTTACTCTGATATGAGAAGCAAAATTCATAGGAACCAGTCATCAACATACCCTCTACCTTACTTATTTTCTGAAAGCGTTAATCACTTGAGAGCAAAGAATAGATCAAGTTAATTACTATGAAAAATACTAACTGTTAGTCATTTACTCAAGCTATATTTAAAACGCAATCACTCGAGCATTAGTATCGACTTAAAATTGAACTTAAGTAGTCTAATCGATTTCACAGTACTACCACAAAAACGCTTTAGACCCTGACTTTTTATATTTTTAGTACCCACTAAACCTAGTCTTTCTCTAATGTACGTTTATCAAGGTTTTTATAGCCTAAAATTTTTTGAGATAAATTGCTAAATTAGTATGCAAATGAAGACAAAAAACTCAGTAATATCACTGTTAATGTAAAAGAACATGGATAAATAATGTGTCCGCAAAAATTTAGGAACACATTTATCTTAAAGGCATCTGTTATTTAACAATTTCAAATGTTTTTGATGTTAGTTCCAACGAAATGTTGCCATTTGGCTTTATTAAAACCCACTTGCGCCTTTTAGTCACTTAGTCCACGTGCGAAAGCTTAATTAGTGCTTTCTAAGACATCGCAAAGTATTTTCAAATTCGTTAAAGGTTCAGAATTTAAAAAAAAAACAAGCTCAAGCAAGTTCTGTTTATCGACATAACAAATAGTCATGTTTTCTAAGAATTCAACTCAACTTTCTATGCGTTGCTCAAAAGTGATGAGTGAAGAGCCACCAATCGATCGAGGTGTTTTTAACTTTGCTACAATCATTAACATTTGTCACGGTTTCCTGATCTTTACTACTAGCCGGTGTTAAAGCAATTCTTCTACTAATTAATGGAATTGGAGACCGATGCATTTAAACACGTGCCTGCTAATTTTGATAGCAAACAATTTTGACTACTTAATGTTCACCGACACTTTATCACTTGGGATTATATGGCGCAAACGAAAGGGTAAGTACACTACGTTGCAAAAATTCCCGACTTTAGACAAGGTTTTAAACCGACACAAACGGATAATATTGGATCCACTAAAACCTCACTACAAAAAAAAAATAAATTTTAAAATGGCTGAAACAACGAATATAACTACAATTTCATTTCTGCAGAAAAAGTGTTACACTTTGCCATACGCACAGAGGCAGCGATACTTGTATGCAACAAAACAGTTAATCGTAGCCGCTGACAGTACTTTATTTTTACAAACAAAATATGAAAACAGTATTTAAGCTACCTATCTTTGAAATAATATCATGCTATGATTAAAAATGACAAAAAACTATAATTTTTAAATCGTTTCTTTAAATAAATATAAGTTCATTTACTAAATTGTCTGGTCAATAGGATTTCGGGGATGTTTTCACTTGTTAAGCTCTACGGTGAGGTTGATGACAGTTTTTGCGGATACTGCAAGAACAATACGGCTGCTAAGACGACATGGTGTAAGTGTTTTGTTTTACTTTAATGATTTAGACACATCTACTGGGCCACTTACTGTCAACGACTACAAAATACTAATCGATCATGGCTGGCGTCGGTAGGTGCTTAGCATTATATGTAATATGTTGAATACAGTTGTGGAACCCTTGTGTACAAACCTGTTAACAAGAAAACATGTTGCCCGGCTTACACAATTCGATGTGATGCGGAAGCTTTCAGAGTCTCAAAAAGTCAGAAGAAAGTTTTGAGGGTGATGGCTGAGTTTTTGAATAAAGGGGAAGTGCCTAATGCTGTAAAGAAGTCAAACAACGCCTCTTATCCAACCGGTTGTGGTGGAGATAAAGGTGACAGTGCTGGCGATACTAGCAAGCATTCGGAAGCTGTTAAACCCAAAGCGTCAGGTGATTCTGAAATGGCAACAACTGCGCGCGACCCCACAACATCTTCACGGTCTAATTCTGCTCGTAAGAAGCGGTGGAAGGCCTTACAGGATCGTATGGCGAGGCGTGCTGAAGCCTCGGGCATTCCCTTCGAGGAGCTTATGAGGGTATGTGTGACTAGAGTAACTCGATTGTGGGATGTGGCTGATGACTCTATTGGTGATGCGCTTTTCCTTTCTTAAAGGACTATTTAATACGCAGGCAAAGACGTCTAGACAAGAATAAGCCGAAAGAACTGGAGCATTATTTGTCTCTCGTACAACCAAAGGAAAAAGCAAAGCACTTCTTGGATGTAAGTGAGCCTGCTAATTTTACATTGCAAATATTTCCAACTGGAAGATTTTTGTCCCTAAAATGAGGTGATGAGTTACATCCAAGCGTTTTCGTACAGCGTAGTGGCTTTGTTGTTGTGTGGGTGTAAGAGTGCAGTAGGTAATCTTTTTTGTGTTAACACTACATCGTGACCATTGGGTTTATGAAAATCCCATAAAAGACATTTATGTCGGGTGATGTCTGTATCGAAGCAACGGAGCAGACATCTGTTTGAATTGCTGACTGCCAGATCGACTGGTGGCTGTTTGTTCTGCGGCCCATTGTTTGGAAGTCGAAGGTGTTGTGATTTCTGAGCATTAATAATTTGGTTTTCGTTTCGACATAGGTCCGGTTATGCAGAAGCTCCCCCAGATCGACAGAATTCGACTTGACGTTTGAGGAGGAATTCAGGCTTTACTCTGATTACCAAATTACTATTCATCACGATGATGCGACTGGTATTGAGCATAAAGGCTTTATAAAATTTTTGGTGAAATCACCTTTAGTGGTAAGTATCTGTGCACCTCGGCTGATTGTTGTGATTTTCAGAGTTCGCAATTCATACTGCGTTTGTTTTCAGAGTGTACACGACAGTCAGGCAGAGGCTGCAGGTGCTCCGCAGTTTGGTTCCTATCACCAACAATATTGGCTAGATGGGAAGAGGCTAATTGCTGTTGGTGTTGTGGACTTGCTTCCAGGCTGCCTTTCATCAGTTTACTTGTTCTACGATCCGAAGTTTGCATTTCTTCATTTGGGAACCTATTCAGCATTGCGGTTCGTTTAGATGTTCATATGATTTCCAAATGGTTGACGATAGTGACGTTACGATATTGTCGCCCTAGAAGTGAAGTTAGTTAAGCCTTACCTCTGCCAGTAAACGGTTCGTCATGACATTGTTTATGTACCTGTTATGGGCATTTGATAGTGCAATAGGAATGTTTAATCCGATGAGACAACGATAGTTTGAAAACGAAGGTATGTGTTGTCTGGGATGTGTAGCGAGTCAAAAGTGCTGCACGGGGATACGGCCAGGTAGTTCATCCTTAAATATGCAGCATGAGTATAGTGATATGTTTCCAAATACTAGTGTTTGTGTTCTTGTTTTCGCATGTTTACCTGACAGTTTGAGGTTGTGTAGTAGTTCACAGTACTTGGCCAGGCTCCCATCGATTTTGCGCCATTAGTAAATAAGAAGGCGGTCGAAAATCATTTTGTGATTACTCCTCTCTAGGCAGTGGTTTTATGTGGTGCATTGGGCAAAAAGGGATCTTGTTGCGACGTCGAGTGCAGCACCAAATAAATTGGGATGTATCGGCACTCGTGAAAAAGTTGATTGTGACACCTTGTAGCCTGTTGTTGTTGAGTCACCTAAAAAGGCTATATTTGACAAATAAGAGGTTTATTTTGCACTTATAGAGAAATCGCCCTTGTTCGACATTTTCATCGCACTTATGGTCCGAGCGTGGCGTCCTTTGCTGATTTTACCCAGTATTACATGGGATTTTACATCCACTCGTGTGTAAAGATGCGATACAAGGCGCTGTTTTCACCTTCCTATCTCGCATGTCCGGAGACGTATAAGTGGGTTCCTGTTGAGAAGTGTCAGCGGCTTTTGGATCAAGGGAAATACGCCCGGTTCGCAGAACTAGCTGATCAACAAGAGGAGGATCCTGATAGTGCTGTACTCCTCCTTCCCTTCTCAGAACGGCTGGCCTCCATGTTACCCGCGAAGAACTTTACCATCGAGGGTGATGTAATCATCACGACGGTGGGCATAGCTGCGAGCGTAATTAAAAAGCAAGCGCTACAAGTTGCGCGTGAGTGGGTCCAACTGGTCGGGAGTACTGGGACCATGCGTATCAATTACGTGAATTAGTGACTGCTCATTCACATCCCGTTTGAAGCATGGGAACTTTGTAGCCTTGTGTTACTTTGCCAGATTGTCAGAGCATCTAGCATTGTGTATTTTCAGATCAGTACTTTTATTTTGATCAGTAAATATCATATCACCAGTGTTTAACTTGTTGTGGGGTACATATTCTAACAGAGAATTCCTTAACGCCTACACTGGGGAAAAATCGAACACAATGACGCGGAATGAGGGGCGGTGGTTTCGACCATGTTGCGCTTCCGGACACGGCTGCTATCTTCTTCCTGCAGAAGTATAGGGTCAATTCATGGCGAAGGAACCTCTTACGTCCATCATTTATGGCCAATTCCCTTAAGCTTATCTTTTTGTCCTACTCTATCGGCCTAATACACGAGAGTGTGCCACGTCAGGTCCCCTCAAATTCATGGTACCCCTCTGGCTTCCAATGACCAAGTCAGTTAAGAAACTGCATTTTGAGTCTTAACACAAGTTTTGCTGATACACCAAAGGAGGTGGTAGCTGCATGTTTTTGGCAGTTATCACTAAGCAGTCATAGCTGAGGCCCACAACAAAGTTAGGCTCATCCAAAATGATATTCTGAAAATGCTTTTAACCGACGTGATAGTGTACTGACAGGTCGTACGTCGTGGTGTCGTAAACTGGTTTCCAAAATATTCTGTCACCGGTCTTCAGTGTTAAATGTCCAGACCAATTGTCAAGTGATGTACATATTGCAAAGTTGAAGCACTATGGTACAAGAGCAGTCAAGCACCGAAAGGGTCATAATAGCTACAGGGACGACAGAAGGATGTCGTAACGAAGTCAATTTCGTTTGCCTTTTCTCGTTTTCGAAGTATTTGTCTTTAGTACGGCGTGCCCGGTTTCTTTTATGTGGCCGAAAAGCTTGTTCTTTGAGGGGAAGTCATTCTTACAAACCAAGCAAACGAAGTTTCGATCTTGCGCTAAAACAAATAAAAACGATCTGATCACTGTCGGCTTAATGGCTTTTCGCAAATATGTAATCAGGTACACTATACGCGTACTGATCAAATAGTTCGCTTGATTGGGCACAGTCAGTTAAAGCGCACACCTACATGACTCGTTGCAATCTATTTGCGTAGTTTGGGGCTTCACCATTGAATGCGAACAGCACTAAATGATGAATCGGGAGTTGGTATTTCACCAATAGGGTCTAACTTATGGTGTAAGAACAACAAGCGCCGACTTCACGTTACGTAGCACCAAACATTAATGTCTCTTCAATTATGTGCACCCCTATTTTTGAAATTCACAAGTTGGAAGTGGACCTGATTTCTGAGATCCGATATTCTTCATAGAAAAGATAGTCAAGTTGTAAATTATACCACGACCCACCCCATTTCGTTATACAAGACCGTTAGGGGAAATGAAACTGATTGAAACTTTCAGGCTGTTACTTTGTGCATTGGTATTGGGCATGGGATTCTTCGCCTTCTTTGGGTGAACGTTTTCAACTCCCGTTGCACTGACTGCGGCGTCATCACAGGCGTTTCCCTGATACTGGTTCGTGACTACCGACTGTGATTCATCAACCTCCTTCAATTTCTCGGTGGCCCTTTGCCGTCTTCGTTCGGCTTTCTTCGCACGCTTTGTCAACTTTGTCTCAGACTGGGGTTGTGACTCCTTAATTTTCTCTTCATCGTCAGAAAAAAGTTCATCTACATGTAAAGTGGACAGAGAATAAGCTATTAAAGAAACTATTAGCCACCAAATGCGTGATCTCAGGACGCATGGACACCAAAACAATCGGTCGACTAAAGACTTGACAGTGAGGAAGATTTCATAATGGTCAAATCAACAGTACAGCTTCTATTGAAATATGGCTATCAATACTATTCCTAGGATGGGTTAACAGTATAAAAAATGACGAAAAACGGCTACCAGACCAAAAAATGCCACGAGTAGCCAATGCCATTGTGATTACCGACAAATGATTAGCAAATGAAGATCCCCTAATACGCACAGTCTGGAATCCTTTGCAACCTCAGGACTTGGAGTCAAATTATACATACTATCGCTGTTCGTGGTACAGCATATTAACATGGCCGAAACCAGCGCAAAGGAGGAAGAAAGATAACACCGACTTTGGATACTTTTCCACAAGACTTGAAAGGGAGTAAAACTGCTGTAAATATCGTGGGAAATCACGTTGGTATAAATTTACCACGTTGAAGGTCTGACTCTGCCAATGTTGCCAATTCCCGCTCTTCTTCAAGGAGGACCAGACGAAGTAAATCAGCCTGCTTTTTGTGCTTCTTAGAAGCTTCGTGGTTTCTCATGGCGGCGGCACTCGCGAAGTGTTTGTTGCATGCCACACAGTAAAGACCACTCTCGGAATCGTCATCGCTTGCATCGCGTGAATCCCCGGAATTTGAACAGGCGTCAGCAGCCTGCGGTTGAACGAGAGTCAATGTCATCAATGGAGGATAAATGCCAATACACTATCTCATGAAATAAGTGCATGCTGACTGAAGTATGTTACCATATACTTTTTGAGTCTACTGTACCGTCATAATTAGTGAGGATCGAAATCTTCAAATTTGAAGAGTTAACAACACGAATAATTTACCAATCAGTGTAAGCCAACAGACTATTAGTTGCATTGATGCATATGACTAACTACATCGGTGTTGCGGCAAAGATAATAACGCATTTGAATTAGCGTAGTGACTTAAAGAGACCCCTTCTAAGCGACCGAATTTTATACTAGTTAATCGAGATAAAGATGGTGCGTATTCTGCCACTCAACTACAGCATGCTAGTCTATGTCTACTAGTAAACCACCATTACGATCGCCGTTACATGTGCTCCTGAGGCTTACAGAAAATATATACTGGGTGCGACAATCGTTCAATCACACATGACGCACTACTAGTATTTCATATTATAGACACTATTGAGTCAAGGTGCATATCGAGTCAAGTTGAAGGGTACACATGACCGGTATTTGGCGATGTTTGGTCAAAATCGTACTTATTTACTCAGTTGAAAGGCTCTAGAAATCTGGTGTGCAGATGAAGTGTTCGTGTTCTGAGCAAGGCTAACACAAAATGACATTAAAAACAAGTGGTCGCGAAACGATACCTAATCAAAGGCATATTTAAAAAGGGAACTAAGCATCTGAGACTCATACTTGACACTTCAGAACTTGCTTGATCTGTAATACTACCGACAGAATCTCGAAAGCCAAACCTCAGCCGTATTTAACAAAGGTTGTGGCTGACTTAGATATGCAGATAAAAATTTCACCATTGATAAAAACGTCTAAGTATACAATCGAACTTTTGCTGCAAAGTAAAGCATTTAATTTGATAAGAGATGTCGATAGAAACTAACTTTAAGATCCAGGCTGTCGGTAGAGGATGCACCTGCGTTGGTAAAATTATCAGGGGCAACACGAAGCCTCTTCTTTCCTTCTAACTCAGCCTCGATTCTGGCTAACTCCTTTTCCATTTCGTCTGCCCACTGGGTCGCTAATCCACCATTGGCCAATTCACTGTCCCAGGCCAGCTCAAGGTCTGCAGCATTCCTATGTAAGGTGACGATTTGCAAGGGATTAGTGAGATGCGTTACTCAAAGCCCTGATATGCTAGTGATATCCAAAGAGAGTTTATATATCTCGCCTAATTGATCATTCACGTCAGTTCATCTGTTATAATCGACGGATGTCACATTCACAAAAAGTAAAACCTACGGAAACCAAAATAATCCACCTTATGTTGGCTGTACACGATAAATAAATTTTAAATTAAATTTAAATGATAAACTTCTTTGGCAAATTGCACTGATGAGTCGTTACCACATCGAAGATGTTGCCGCCTAGAGTATCAATACACAATTAGTTGCTGCGTTAGATAATGACGTTATGGTGGTCGACCATCACATGAGTGATTATTTAGAAAAGTCGGAATTACGATCTACGGTGAAAAGAATGTTGAAAAGTGGTATAAAATGGAGGACTACACAGACAGTAATCAATTACTTTTGTCTGACTTTCTTGGCCTGTTCTTTATTTCGGGCGTGGGCATGTTGAGCAGCAGCTACAAGTCTCACGCGTTCGGCTTCCACACGCTTGTCTCGCCGATGCACAAAGGCAACCAGTTGACGAATTTCTTCATTTCGTTCCTTCTTCGCCGCCTCGCGCGCCTTACGATTTTCAGCCTCCGCGGCTCGTCGTTCCTCAAATAGTAACAAAACTAATAACGACTACGGCAAGACATGAGAACATCACAAACGAAGATATACAATATCAAAAAAAAGCCAAAGCTTTTACGCGTACCATATTAGTCTCCTAATTTGGAAAGGTTAAATCAGATATGCTGATTACTAGAACATAAGTCGGTGTGTGTTTTCAAATAAATTCACCGTTTCATTAAATGACAACGAAAAAATGTTGAAGGTTAAGACCAGCCGATAACGCAGTAAGCTGTATCAAGATAAAACCTATCGAAGTAGAGTACAAATAATTTCACCGACCAGCTAACTACAAGAGAGCAATAGGACTTACTATTCTGGAAGTCATCCTTCTTGTGTCGTACGGCTCCACCCAGGAATATGACTTGCGCGTAACGAAACCTTCCCAGAAGACATAAAACGGTCGTACCACGGATTCATAGTCACTATTGGCATGACCAAAAGTGGGAAACGACGCCGTACCATTGGCGTTAGAGTGCTTTGTCGTATCGTCCTCGTCACTATTAGAGCTTGAGGAATAATCACATGCTCTTCGTTCCTCAGCCGAGATATCGTTAAAGACCTTCCGGAAGACTGTGTAGAATCCCTTGAGGTGAAAATAAGTAAAACACATGGCAATATCAGACACAACTGCTAACAGAGCATGGGCTGAATTCCAAACAGCAAACGGATCGAATAACAGTAATGTAAAACTGAAAACGTCATCTTGCGACTAGAGAATTAAAAAAAAACAGAGCCAATGAAAGTTTTTGACTGGACTATTGCGCAACAGAAGACTGCAGAACCGCTTTAAACACTACCGAATTCTATATTGCATAAATTTGATGACAACGGCCCACTTTGTAAATTCGAAAACACTATCCTTGAAAATTGGTCTTTGGATAAGTAAACCAGGAGACTTACGCGTTCATTTTAGACTGCTTAATCTTCTTCGATACTTTAAAACAAGTACAAAAACATCATAGGGCATAAATTCATAGATTTTAAGATACGCTAGGTAAAATTCCGAAACAAGACTTGAGCTTGGGTTAAGGGAAGCTAAACATACCTTAGGTCCATCGTCAAAGTTCTTGAAGCAGGAACGTGAGAAAAACTGGAAAACATCCAATCGTTCTTCCTTATACTCTCCGTTGACACCCCCTTGACCACCGCGGAGGATTTCATCTCTATGACGATCGTACCACGCACGTTCCTGAACATCTGAAAGCACTCTGTAAAAAAGCGTACCGTAAAGGTTTTACAAAACAAAAGTTACCGGTAAGCCTCTTGGATTTCTTGGAACTTGGCCGTAGCTTCATCGGTCGGGTTTTTATCTGGATGCCACTTTAAAGAAGCTTTATAATAGCTCTTTCTCAATTCTCCTAGATCTGCTGTTTTTTCGACACCTAATGAAAGTTGATTAAATAAATTAAAATCCTTGCCTAGCACGTCATAATAGCATCTCATTTCAACCAATATCATTAACTTCTGGAACACCGATTTTCAAGAAACCCGCCTGGTGGTTCATTTTTTTGAGTTCTTCAATTTTTTAGTTCAATGTTATAAATGAGATTCTCTTTTCATATCCAGCGTGAATAAAAAAATTCGCATAAAGCCTGGCGAATTATGGGTTCTGATATCGTTTTTAGGTATGTTATCCTATCGATTGACATCATTCTGATGGCCGCGCGTCTTTAAAAACTGATTTCATCGTCCAAAGCGCGTGTCTTAAAGCCGCGGGAAGTTTGGTACGTGTTGTCATCGGTCAAAGTTTTTATAACAAGTTTTTCGTTAATTTGGGAGAAAGTATTCATTTCTCACAGTCTTGGTTCAACGTCGTTCATGCTCATTTTTATGTTGCTCTTACCTGCCTTTTTTCGTTTGCATTTGTGGTGGTGGTTCATTAAATTGTTGCTCTCTTTTCATTAATTCCCCATGTTTTTATTTTACAGACATACTAATCCAATTATTGCGAGAATGGAGGGCGATACTACACAGATACCTGAGCAAAAGTTTGAGTGTTCGTGAAGCTTCAGCTTGATTATTTCACGTTTTTAGACTTAGACCATACAGCCGATGTTCAGTAAGTATGATCTAGGCATTATCTAGCATTGTATTTTGTTTATCAGACTGCATGCTTGGGGTTCGGATTTGAAAGAGGCGTTTGAGCAGGTAATTTTGTTTCCCCGTATTATTTTTAACTATCTAGGTAGCAATGGCAATGTTTGCTTACATGACTACAAATTATGATTCGGTTGATATGACAAGTTCGTACGAAATCGACGCTACTGGTAAGGCCGCTTATTAATGCACCAGACATGAATGGACTTCAGTATGCTATTATCTGATTGTGTTCTTTGTAGCCACAATCTTTTGTCTTTGCAGGCTCACTTTTTTTATGAAGTCATGTCCATGGGTTTTACATAATCTGTTTGTTATTTCTGTTTTCATACCGGAAATGCACCTACTAGTCGATTACTCCTAAGTTAAACGTGTTCCCAAAATTTCCCTATTTCTGTTTACCATTGGTTGGAACTACCTTTCTGTAACTCAGCCCTAAATTCCTAGTTCAATCATTTGAAATGCAATAATGTATTGATTTTGGGCCAATACCTGGACTTCTGTAACATAATTTATTATACGACGACAGCAAGAGCTATCAACACTAGCTAAAAAATCGTTTCTCAAAATAAATTCGTGACGTCCACATTTTGCACGGACTATTTACTACATTTTTCCTCAATCCCATTCCAAAGTGTATAATGTTTGTTAACGCTTTGGAACGTAATCAAGTATGCTTCAAGTCCAGCCATACTTATTTTGCTTCTTGGTTCTTCCTGTACCAGGGAAATGTTTTTCGACCCCGAAACCTCAATCTCTATTACCGATCCTTTGAGCTATGTGGTTACGAATTTTAACTTGCTTGTAAGAGGACATCGACGACAGTCTATTCCTTAAAATATCATTATTGTTTATGGATGTTTGATTAAAACAAACCTTTGAAGCGTGTACTGCTTGCTGACCTGGTCGCCTTCGAGTTTCCTTTTTATATCCTATAAATTCTCATCTGTTTCTGTGTCATCGAGTTAAATGTGAACGTTAAGCTTGAATTTCGTTTGACGTGTACTAGTGCTATTTAATAAATTCTTGTGTATGTGTTTCAAGCTCATAATGTATCTCAAAATTTCTAGAAACTGTGAGTATCGGCTTTCATCCTAAACGGGACAACATATCATCTGTCCAGAATGCACAGACCCTTAAATAGGACCAAATAGTTTAGCTTGAAAGATAGCATTGACACAGCAGAACTAGTAAAAAGTGCACAAATTTTGGTGTTGACTGAAAACACTTTGTCGAAACCCGATTTTCCAATAAAAACTGTTGTTATGACAAATTGCTGGGTAGAATTCCCCTCATTGTGTCAATCCTGATTGTCAAAATTTTAGGCTCTGATATGAAGAGTCTCCTTTTTCACTTCCTTGATGAGTGGCTTTTCGCTTTCTCCGCGGGCGATTTCTTTTTTCCGAGGGTAATTTCAAAATTACTCAGGCATTTTCTTACACTACACCTCACATATCCGTCCATGTCTTGAGATTTCTGTTATCAATATTTTATAGATTATCAAAATAACGGAATTTGATCGACAGAACTTCCGAATCAAAGCGACCGGGTTTGTTTTGACCTCTTTATTGATTGCTGTTCATTTAGTTGGGGTGAACCTTTTGACATATCTAAACATCCTCAGGTGCGCTAACTTGCGTTTTTGGGCATTTCAACTGCTCACAATTGATATTAACATTCCCAAGTTTTCTTTAAGGGCACGGAAGTAAAAGCCATCACTTATTCCAACATGCAAATCTATGATGAGGAGAAGCGACACGAAGTCTTCGTCATCATTGACATTTAGGAGGACATCTAGAATTCACCTGACAATTTCGTATTTTTAGCAATGTTGGAAACTGAAGTACTAAATATGTCGCGTGCGTTTTCGTTGTCTGCTCTCATTAACTTCAAATCGCGTTTATGAAAAAATTCTACTCTGCGTTTTTTTACGATCTATGATTTTTATTTACATCCAAACGTATGTACATTGTCGACGGTGGTTGACTGTTCGATTTTCCCGTTATAAAAGGTGGCTTGCTCTAATACTTCGTGCGTTTCATGGATGGAGTGTAATGGTTTGTAATCGGTGTTACCAACCAGGGGGTCGTCGTTACTGAAAAGTTTTAATAGCTAAGTAGGCAGTTGAAAGCTCACACGCAACTGTACCACGCCATACCCCGTGGTATTTATAATGCTATTGAATCACGGTAGTATTTCACGTTTGCTGATCTCCTGATTACCTAAAACGCCAATGCTAACTCTTATAATCATTGCATGCAATGCTAGGTAAAGATGAGATGCCTCAAGGTGTTTGCTATCGCGAAAGACTCCACAGGACCCTGATTAATCCTAATAACTTAGGCGTGATTATAGGTCATAAATAACCTCACTATATTAGCCTAACCGTCGATAAATAGGCCATGTTTAGGTTAACAGATGAAGGCGAAGGTGGCTGTCGTGTTTGCGATAAACATGTCGCCGTTTTGTTGACCAACTCATGCTCATTCAAATATCGAATGACATGCGTTTGAAAAGCTTCTTATAGTCGTTTCTGTGACAGCGAGATCAACATATTTAGACTTATTTTATTAAATGTAATTCGAGAGAACTTATTAAAATCCGCTTATTAAAAGCTTAGTGATTTAACATAACGGTGATGGTAAGCTAATTTGTGCTAATCTCGCCTGTTTCACAAGATCAAATTGCATCTGACAAGGTAGTGCCATTTTAGGAGTTAAGTCCATTTAAAAACAGTCACAGTCGCCAGCTCGGTTCATACACTACCACGTGTGAAGCACGCATCTATTCTCCCACACTGATTTCACGCTGCTTAAAGCGTAGCACTAAACTATCAAAGCCATTACTGTAAGTGGTAATATGGATGACCACAGACTACCCTTTGTGAGTGAGGTGCTAATGTTATTTAAATGAGCACAGAAAACTTCTGAACGACGGATAAGTGCAAATATTTTCATTTTGGACAAAAGCGATGGTGCAAGCGCAATGTTTTGAACTAAGTGGTAGTAATCTTTACTCTAACAAACCAAAAGAAAAGAAACACTTTAATGTTCTCAGTTGATGTTGATACGTGGTGTGCGCTAATAGAATTGGTTTTTCTTTATATATTTTACAGCCCTTTTATTACCCATTCAGTCGGTTGTGAAGTCAAATTTGGCCTGGGGCGTGTTGCGAAATCTTAGGGTACCCATTATAACACGCGATCTACCCTCAGGACAATCAAGGGCCACATTGGTGATGAACGCTTAGGTATAATAAGTAGTCTCACAAAAGAGGACTAAAGTTGTTTAATGGTGGAAAGTCATCCAATAGTCGAAGTCCCGGCTTCATTAATTAGTCTAGTTCTAGTGGTTTGAGCCTCCAAATGGTTCTTTTGGGGCTTCTAGAAATAGAAACGGCAACCGGAGAGGCGATTAGCTAGCACGAATCCCTGTGCGCTAATCGACTTCTCTCGATCCACGAACTCGAAGACCACATGTATGATCGTGTAAAAAACTATCCTCAACATCCACTGTATAACAATATTCCAGTCTTGTGGAGTATGGTGCCAGTTTTCAGCTAGGTGGTGACTATCTTCCACAACCCTACGATGGAAAACGTCCGTTCTCAACATAATAGTTGGTTATGTAAGGTTAAGTAACGTTTATTCTTTAGATTGTTACTTATTCGCTTTTGAGTATAAAGGGTTTCGTTTTATTCTTCATTTTACGGTGTCTTTTACTGCATGAGACATCAACGTTAAGTAGGAGACTATTTTCAAGTTTGTTTTTGTTCAAAGGTTTTTTTAAAAACGTGCCCATAATTTTTAAGTAAACGCTTATATAGAGGATTATTAAAAACAAACAAACCTGTTTTTTGGATAAAGACAGGATTAATCTCACGTCGGACCTTCCCATTGGTAATGCCATGAATTTTCATGTTGCTAGGCGGTTGCGTACATTCTAGATAAAACCTTGTTTCATTTCCTTTAAAATTGTGCCAAACATAGAAAAAAAAATATGAGCAATTTTTAATAGTAGACACTTTCGAAGAACTGGGGTTTTGGGTTTTCTCTGCCATGAAAATCATTACTTGATCAAAGTTCTTCAGAAAAAAAAATATTAATTTTACGGTTTTGGATTCCAATGAAGTCATTAAAATGGTAAAACTTTACATTATTACAAATTTAAATTGCAGTCATAGAGAGGAACAAGCATTGTCAGTGGACAAAATGAAATTTTTAAAGCATTTGTTACTGTTTTATGATCTTTCAGACCCAACTTAGGCCAATGAGTTGGAAGCGATGAAGTTTGATTTTGAAGGCATTAATTGTACGCTACTTTTAGTCAGGGACTGTTTCTACACTGTTTCTAAGTCAATCGACGATCCTGAAATCTGACTGAATTCTATACTAATCAAGAGGAACTCAATAGCTACTGTGAAAATATTCTGATCAAGCAAGTAAAAGGGAATGGAATGAAAAGAACTGCCGCATGATTGCGGAAAGACTACTCCTTTTGACTACACTTATTGCTCCTAAATCGGTCCGTATTCTTTATTTCACCAAGTAAATCTGTGCGGGATGACTTTTGTCAAAAACTGTTTTAGAATGCATCCGAAGGACGTGTTTAATGACTAGTTCATCAGGATCAAAACTATACAAGTATTCATCTTAAAAAGTTTAACTCACTGTAATTGGTGACCGATGCAACGATTAATTCCAATGCAATGTTTATAGCAGGTTAGGATTCCCTGAAGCCCTCGTTAAGCCCGATATGTACGGCCCAAAGCAAGTATTAAATACTACCTCACAAACGCTTTAGAGATTGTAACTTGCACATATTTCTGTTTTAACCGGTGATGATTGAAGTGGTTTTTTAAAACCGGTGTTTGTGACCCGGCTTTTGGTACAATGCATGATAACCGAATTTTAGGTCGTTTTAGACATATTTTCCCACACAGCATTGTATTACGCCGGTATAATGCGCTTGATGCCATGCGATCATTTTTTAAGTCGGCAGGAGTTCGCATTAGTGAGTGGAATTCTTTAAAAATCCCACCCGTGCATCACGAAAAAACCTTAAAGTAGTGCCATTTAGTTCGCTTATAAGTACTAGAAATCGTTATATCCCATTTTCGAAGAGATTTCTGTTCCGCGAGATAATTTTTGATGAGAACTTGATTTCACCGTCTTCTAGGGATGCTTTTGAGGAAACGGCGATTTTTATTGACGAACAAATATCAGATCATTATCGACTGCAATCTGAAGAAGCCATGGTAATTTAATATTTATTACTTTATATCCAAGCATTTGATCCATAGGAAACGATTTTTAGACACATTTCTTCATAATTTTAGGATTTTAATGCATTTTTGGAATGAAAGTCCTTACCTTTGTAAGACATTCTCTACCTTTTAGTCTAAATGAAGGTGGTATATTCTTTTGTAATGAAGGATTGCATGCGCGAATGCTGTGTTTTGAAATGTTTGTCCTCTTCTTATTTGTTTCATAGTTTTAAGCGGCGTCAGTGATTGCCATATTGTGTCCGTATATCTCAAAAATAGGCATTTCTTCCTCATTCCGAAATAACCGTCTCAATACTTGGTACAATTATCAAAGGATGTTAACAAAAACAGTCGTTTTGTCCAATAAAGTTTCGAATGGCGCTTGATATGACTATAGATTCGTAGTGATTTTACTAAATTCAGCTACTCCTCAAACCTCTGCTGGATACCAAGTTGCAAGTGTCGTCAGCAACTGATCCTGCTGTAAAAGCGAAAATTCTTCATTATAAGGAGCGTCTCGACCACGAGTATTGGTTTTTGAGAAAGCTGAACGAGATCGCTCCTGATGGTGGTTTCTCCGAAGTATCTCGGGAGTATTTGCAAATGGCCTGCATCCCTCGTGCCTCACGTGCTTCGAGAGTGAAGGTACTTCCTACACTGATTGTTAAGCTGATAATTATATGTAATTACTTTATTACATTTACGTTTCTCTGCCAACATTGAGTCTTCCGTTTTTTCGGTTCATCTTACAAGTATTCTTGGCTCTGGATATTGTGATGTTAGGTCGACAAATTGGATACTTTTTACAAATACAATAATTTTAAAAAAATGCAGAAAATATGGTACATCTCAATGCTGATCATCATCTTTCCTCACTTTAATTCTGTTTAATTTCTCTTGCAGTATTCTTCTTAGACTTTATATGTTAAATGGAGCCGACCTTTTCACAATCAAACCATGAAACATGTGTTTTGTTAGCGCTGCAGGTTGGTATTTTCAAATCCAGTTGTTTTGTGGATTAACTAATGTAGTCTTAACGTCCGGTCCATTTTTGATTTATGAAAGCCGTGTCGAACTGAATATTGGTTGATTGTCGTTCTGCGGTCTAGGGTAAAATCCATTCTTGCTAACTAACGTGATGCATAAATACGAATTCTGTTCTTCATTGCAGCTTTACCTTCCAATAAGCTTCAATATCAAAGAGAAGATCTCTGTTTTAGTTAAGCACACGTTAATGCCAAGTTTTGTTATCTTCGATTTGTGGCACACCACGTAGAATTACTACGAGGTGGCTCCTGAATCAATGTTAAGCACGTTCTTCTATTTCCGAAAAATGATCCGAATTTCACTACAGTTGTTGTTAAAAATAACGACTGTGGTAACTAGTCCCACTGTCACAACAAAAAACCCAATACAAGATATCGCGTTTGGGCAGTGTTTCACAACGAAAATCAGGTTTGTTTTCCCTCGTACGTGAGTTATCGAATTAGAAGTTCATTTCAATTTCTTTTTCAGCAACAGTGTATTATTTTCTGTATCGCGGTCGTCTTGTAACTCGCAATCTTACTTAGGCCACTCTGATTTAGACTTGAATAGGATCAAGTTAATTTTGTTGACTTTTCCGGGCATTTTGTTTCTTCAGACCTACGTTGATCCGGCTGACTATGAAGTCTTGCGTGTGTGGACTCGCGGCTTGCATCCAGCATGCATGTATCCGATTGATCGGTCCTTAAAGAGCCGTCCATCAGCCACTGAGATTCCATCAAAGAACGACACCGTCAATAAATGGATAAATCGGTTGACCAATATCTTGACACCGAAAGCGCTTCCAGTGGTGCCCAAGGATGATCTCTGCTACGGACATGTACTTGTCGCCTATCGTCTCAAAGGGGATAGTGTGTTGCACCTTCGCATGATGAAAGTACATAGTCTTCTCTTGTGTTTAACCGCTATTGCAGTAAACATTGAAACACTTCTTTGCTTCAAAATTGAGACCTTCTCCACTTATTTTCTAGCGTTTCTCATGACCCGTAATATGCTTTTATTAGTGTAACAGCGTCCCACTTCACGAGCAGCAAGTCAAGTGCAAAACTAGTGGATGTAAAAAAATGGCAAATTATTTAACTCATTTCACTAACGTGAACTGTTTCGTTTATTATGCGCACTTTTCACTTGTATTAGTGGTATTTGTATTGGGATTTTAGCACGTTCCAGTTTCGCCTACGGCAGGAAACAGTCACTTTGCAGAGGGAGTGATTGACATCCTCCCAGAGCACCGATTTGTGGGCCTCTCACAGGCAGCCACCCGAGTGGTGCTTGCTTCGGCGTCAATGGCAGTCGCTGGTCTCTGCGTCCTTACTCCCATCGCCTATCTCATGGGGGGAGGATTAGGGGACCCGGAATTGATTCTCTCGTGGTCGTTCTCTGCCGCTTGCACTGCCGGGATAACTGCTGCGCTGGTGTCCCTTCGTTATTGGAAAGCTCGGGCTGACTGGAGCGAACGTCTTCGAAAACTTGTAATTTACCTGTGGATATTTTAACAGCTGAATCTATGGTGGAGCCTTGAGTAGTTAAGATTCATTTTCTGGGTCTCTTAGTTCGGATTTTGGCACTTTTGTAATGCGTCAACTAGCGTCCGCAAATAGGGTAAAAGACTCCTGAACTCTAGTAACGGAGTACACGTTTTACTCTGCCTCCCTTTCCCTGCTACCTAAGGGCTGAATTCATGACAACATTTGGTGTAAGAAACAAATTAACTTTTTATTTCCACATATTCCCTGGTTAGATCCTCCAAAATTGTTTTTGACCAACGAGAATGCTATCTTTTACCGACATAAGTGATCATGCAGCGCTGGCTTTTTCGTCAAAACGCGTCATGTCGCCATGTAAACGCTTACCATTTGCGTTTAATTAGCGATAATTCACAGCTGCTTGTTACTTTTAATTGGTTCATCTCGAAATACTTGTTTAAGTTGCGCCACAAACAGAGGCTAATTGACTCCTCTCTACATCTACTGTACAGTGCTACAATCCACTAAGCGGCACTCCTGTCGGTTTATGCATGTACAACTTTACTATCATGCGGTTCCTCTCACTCTCAACGCTCTTTTTGTCTGCTCATGGCCTCTTTAACACATGTAGTCTCTCAATTGTGAGTTCAATTCGGGGACCTTTGCTCTGGCTCACCTGCTTGGTTTAGTCCAGTCGGAACTCTTCAAATCTTCTCTTCTTGTCTATGCCCTTCTCTTGAAACCGTCCGCATGTGAGTTACTTTTGCTACCTGCGATTTTAATGAGCATCTTTTCTGTCACATATCGGCCAAATTTTCACCCATTTCAGCTGACCTAGTGTGTTACTTCCGTCAATCAATAAACCCCGACGGCCCCAGGAGCCGAAAGTCTTTGTATCATATCCGGTCGTGTATTTTCGCTCACACGAATAGCGGTCAACAGAAAGCTTAATTTTAGTTCTTTTTGTCCATAGCGTGTGGTTCATAGCTAGTAGAAGTGAATAACTAGCACCCCTTCATAACACCATGTGTGAAGAGTTGGTATTCTGGATATGCCTAACTCCAGTGAAACTTGATGTAATTACTAATACTTGCAACTTAGTTTGGCGCGCTGGCACCATAGAAGGTTATTATCACGTGATGCAATGAGATCGCTTTATTTAAATAAGTCACAATGTTCAATTAAACCACTTGGTTTTACTTATAATGCATATGTGCACACCAAGAACCGCAAATTACTGGCCCCCCTCTCCACTACAGGCTTTTTGTCCAGTAAACACTGGGTGCACAGGAGTAAACCAACCCATCGAGTTCCCAATGCTCGTTTCAACCATGCACCAAAAAGCTGCCAAAATTTTGATGAATCCGGCAATTAAAAATAATGCAGGAGTGGGTCCCTAATTCCCTTGGTTACTATTTTATACGCCCACACAGCCTCAAATAGGCACCTATCGCATTTCTGCTGCAATGCTACGGTGGTAATTTTCGCCTTTATGTACCGCCTAGCACTAAGTTCTGAGGACTTTAATTATGCATCCCCACTAGCCCAGGCGTCACTTCACGGTTGTTACTTTTGCCTGTAGGCGGAGCTCCACTGAAGCGGAGTCAACTGGAAATCCGGGCCGAGTCCTGGATAGCAAAGCGCTTATCTCCTCACAGTCATATTAACCTGCCTGCGAGTGCTGAAAAGCCTTCTATCAGACGTCGAGCCCCTTCAACATCACCAATTGGTGCTGAAGAATTTAATGGCGGCTCCGGTCCATTCTTCGACCTCCAATTTGATGCAGGCCCGGCTCTTCAATTGTTACGCCAACTTTGTTTTGTGCGCGGGACAGATGAGGAGGGTCTCGAGGCGACAGCGGTTAAGCCTACAGACGCCACTGCAAAGAGACTTTCCCCCTTTCTCAGTCCAGACTGCCAAGAAGACGATCTTGGCTCGCCCCGAGTGGTTATCCGCCAATGAGGTCCTGCTTTGATTTTATTTACTGATACTATGTTAGTTAAAATCATTAATCCTAATGACTTGTGGTCTTATTTCCCTTTCTACACACTACATTGTCTCATTCAAGATTTTCGATTGCAAGGACTTATCACAACTAAAAAAGTAGAGAAATGAAAATCTTCACCCCAAGTAGTAGCGAGTATTAGCAGTAACATGGCGCAGGGTGTCGGGAGACGCTCTGCACACCGATCGCCGGGTGTTTTTCTGATAACCACTGTAAGTCCACGCAGACCGGAGAAAGCACGAGATCCATATTTTCGTAAGACCAGAAAAAAAGCGTAAAAAACCATGCGCGAACCATTGTCGTGACGGTTCCGACCAGTTTTGTGCGCACTGAACTGTTTGTGAAGAAACAGCCTGGTACCCTCACGCGGTGGAGCCATAAGTCACACCGTTTTATGGCAAGTGGCGCCGCTTTCCAGGTATTTATAACAACTACGACTCATGTTAGACTCAGTTGAATGCGGCCTCCGAAGTAGCCTAGGCGTGATTAGGACCCGTTTTGATGTCACGTTCACCACTTAAGGTGATGCAGTGAGTCCGTGACTGCCCAATCGCTTTATTCAACCGCGGTGAGATAAAGAGCTAAATTACAACCATCGGATACTACTTGGAGTATTGAAGGAGGATTATTGCAAGGAATGCGCAGAAATAAATGCACTGCTTTGAGCAAATATAGAAAGGGGACATATCGCGCAAGCGGAACAACAGTTCCTAAATTCGAAGGTATTTCGTCGGAGTTTCGACGTCTTTATAACGTAAAACCGAAACCAGCGGACACAAAACTAAGCAACTACCATACTACGAGAGAAACCAAAACACCCAGATTTCAGGATTGCGCACGTAGTCGTTTGTGAATACACAAAGAGCTTTAAGGAAGTAAAATCAGGGTTCGGGAAATTTTCGGAGGACGCGGTTAATCTGTATGGAGGACAGCCGACTAGATTCCTCCGGATCGTCACTTTCACTACTAAAGTGGCCCATCCTGCGCGCCTCTTTATTGCGCGTCCGACGAGCCTCAGCGGCCACAACACATTTGTTAAATGCATCAATAACTTGAGAACACGGTTTCTCCTCAAAATCATTTGACTTGAGACAAGCCAACATCAATGCCATTTCTTCAACACAAACAGCTCCTTAAAGCAAAAAAATTAACAATATATAAAACGCACAAACTTACGCGGCTCCTTTTCACCTTTACCCGAAACTTTGTTTTTCAAAAGTGGATCTTTATAGTACTTAAACTTAAAGTACTCCAGGTCGTGTCGACGTCGAGAACTCCGCTTGTACAGTCCAAAGAGAACATCCGCTAGCTTCATGACGACGTGTTGTTGTAGTGTGGTGTGGTGTGGCGTCGGATTAGGGCACAGACATGTTGGACCACCTGGCCTCAGCCAATCCCGTGTCTCTCTGCGATCCAATGGCATGCGGGAATGGAAGGCAGCCAACCAGAGGAGGACATGGATGAGATGCAGTATATAATGAGCGGCGTGGCCAGCGTGGC